CCTTAACTCAAACACTGTTAGTGTAGTTCAAACTGTTTCAGGCACTTTGGAGACTTGAATAGATTAAAGATTTCAAGGCCCTGTGACTTACAACTTCTGCATCCAGGTAGACGCTTTTGAGTTATTCTATACGTGCAGGACAAGACGTGTGTGCAGGTGTTCATTGAACACTAGCTAAAATGTGGAACTAACTTAACTGTTCCTCAGTTGGGAGATGGATAAAGACTTTGTGGTTTGAAAAGTGGACTGTCACACGGTAATTAAAAGAATGGACCACATCAACATAGATGACTTTGACTTTGAATGAAAAAAATCAATCACCAAAGATGTTCATTATTTTAGGGAAAATTTCTGAAAATGTAAAAATAATACAAATATGCATGGGAATAGTTCTCCAGAGAGGAAGGAATAAGGCCAGGGTAGGCTTTAGTCGCATTCTAGAATGGCGTATGTTTTAATGGTGTCCTAAGTCAAATATGACAAAATGATAACGTCGAAATCTTGGTGTTTTGTGCATGGATATCTGTATTATTAACATCTGTATTTTTCTATATGTTTCAACATTTCAGCATTTAAAAATTACAAATCAAAATCAGTATTGAACAAATTAATTGGGCAAAAGGAGATAGGGGAGGTTTGAATTTTGAAAGCAGAAAGACTATATTATTATTGGCAGAAGACACCTGTGATGAAAATCCAAGACAATCAATTCAGAAACTGTTATGACTAATAAGTTAGCTCAGTAAAGCGGCAAAATAAAAGGAAAATATATATGGTGGACAGAGTGACAGAATAACACCCTCTCCCCCAAATTGTCCATCTTCTAATCCTGGAACACATTCCTTAATCCATGAATATGTTACCCAGCATGGCACAGGGGCTTTGCAGAGGTGACTGAATTGAGGATTTTGAGATGGGAAGGTGATCCTGGATTATCCAGGTGGTTCCTGTGTAACCACAGAGGTCCTCAGGAAATGGAGGGCAGAGGGCTACATTCAGTGGTAGGACATATGACAGTGGGGAACAGGTTGGGGTAATGTAAGTCAGCGTCCTCTGCCAAGGAGTAAGAGTGGCCCCTAGAAATTGGGATCAGCAAGGGACAGAGTGTCAGCCAAGAGCCTCCAGAAGGAAGGCAGCGCTGCCCACACACTGATTTTAGGATTTCTGACCCCACAACTATAAGATAATAAAATTGTGTTGTTTTACATCACTAAAGTTTGTGGTGATTTGTTAGCGAAGCCATAGGGCAGGGGTCCTCAAATTTTTTAAACGGGGGCCAGTTCACTGTCCCTCAGACCGTTGGAGAGCCAGACTGTGGGCCCCGGGACAAGTTGACAGGCAGCAGTGGCAAAAACACCCAGCGGGCCAGATAAATGTCCTAGGCGGGCTGCGTGTGGCCTGTGGGCCATAGTTTGAGGATGCCTGCCATAGGGAATTAGGATGGCACATACAGGCAGAAGATTGCTGTCTAGTAGTTTTTGTGAACCTTAAACCATTCATACAGAAATAATAGAAATAAAACCAATTTACAATGGTAAGGAAAATAAGAGAATAGCTAAAAATGTACCTAAAAATAAACATGAAGATTTATATAAAGAAAATTGTAAAGCTTTTCCAAGGAGTTAAGAAGGTCTAATTTGGATGCATAGACCATGCTGTATCAGCTGCGTCAGAGGACAGTTTTTAATACAAATCATCTACAAACGCAGGTCTTTCTCCTTCAAAGCACTATTCTTTATTTATTTGTTTGTTTATTTTTATGGAGACAGAGTCTCACTCTGTTGCTTGGGCTAGAGTGCTGCGGCATTAGCCTAGCTCATAGCAATCTCAAACTCCTGGGCTCGAGCAGTCCGGTAGCTGGGACTACAGACATGTACCACCACACCCATATAATTTTTATTTTTTGTAGAGATGGGGTCTACAAAAAAGAGTGACTCTTGGGGTAACTCTTGCTCAGGCTGGTCTTGATCTCCTGGCCTCAAACAGTCCTCCCACCTCTGCCTCCCAGAGTGCTAGGATTATAGGCATGAGCCACCAAACCTGGCCACAGTACTATTTTTTTAAATGATGACTTTAAAGTCTAGAAGGTAAAACATCATGAAATTAAGAAAAGCCCTAAAAAGTAATAGATGTTATTCTTGATGTCGAATGACTCGATGACTTCAGTCATCTTAATTTAACAAATATGGTATAATCTTAGTAACAGGCCGGTAGATGAGTAGGAATGAAACCTTGTTTTTGATGGACAGCCAGGGAATGCCTTCTGCGGAGGGGATATTTTTGGCAGACTTGACCCTTGAGAGATAACAGAGAACACTGAGGGAGTGTGCCTGGCCAGCTTGGTATCTTTTAGGGGACAGCAAGGATGGCCCTCCAGTGGGGAAGAATGGGGAAGGATAGAGAAGATTCAAGAAGGCCAATACCATGGTTATAAATTAGTCATTCTCCATTATCTGCCTTCCTGATTTCTTCCTGAAGGCTCAGTTTTACTCACCTACCAGGGAGAGAGCTAGGAATTTAGCAACTACTGTCCAACCTGTGGTCTGGTCCTGCTGAGCTTCAGTGCTGTGTGAAGGTGGCTGAGTCTAGGCGGGGGCAGGACATGGAGTTGCCCAGGAGATTCTGTCCTGGTCTGTGCTCTGCTGGGCAGGCCTGGACAGGCCTTTGCCCCAGTACCTTCCCAGTATACCTGCTGGCCATTGAGGAGTACCTTTTCCCTTTCATCTGAGCCTAATTTGGCCAGAACGCAGAGAAATGATGTGTTGGGATCAGCAGCTGTTTCACACAGCCAAATCTGAATAGATCTTGTGTTCCTCAGAGGGGATCCGGCGGCATATAGGAGCTTCAGGAATGCAGGGTCCTCATGTTGTGCTGCGTGGCTGAGTTAGTGAAGACCGTATGTACAGAAATTCATCCTGCTTGATTCAGCCTCACTTTTAAAGGGGTTGTTCCTTGCATTTGTTACCTTGTAGCTTTGTGTCATCCCTAAGAATGGCTTTCTGTAGCTTAACCCAGCACATTGAGAAGGGGTTGACGGGGGCCTGGCAGCGTTGTGAATAGTAGTTGTCGGTGGTGATCTGTGTGATCGATCAGTGACTGCTCTGCACTCCGGGAGCTGCCCACTGTCCCCGCGAGTGAAGCCCAGCTTCCCACCTGGAAGTCCACACTGGGCTTCTTCCTCCCAGGCCACCTCCAACTGCCCAGCGTCTGGGGACCAGCAGCCATCTTACAATCCTCACACCCCTGAGGCCATGAGAAATCCTATAATTTTCCAATTACAGTGGTAGCAACAGATACACACTGTCTTTCAACTTCATTTAAAAAGAAAGGAGCCAGCCAACCAAAAAATAAGCCAAAAGATTCAGAACATGCATCTAACTATTTTCAGTCACCTTCGGATTGCTCTCCTGTTGTAGCTTCATCTGATGTAAGTTCAAATCCTGGTGGTTGTCATGTCTGACATTAGTTTTCCTCACGTGTAATGGCGTTTTAGTTTGCATGTCTGTCTGAGAGAGTGGTCCTCCAGCCAAACCACATCACACACCTGTGTGCCCACACACGCACACACATGGGCACACAGCTCCTCCTTTTTGGTACTATCTTTCGTTCCCTGTGCCACCCCGTATACCAGGGCAGTGTTTTCAGCTCCTTTCTAGAGAGCAGTACTTGCTGCTAAGGACCCTCTCTCACTTGGGCACCCAGGACTGGTCCTGCCTGCTCCTGGCCTGGGTGCAGTAGGACAGAGCATTCAGCTGCCCTCAGCACTGGAACTTCTGTTCTGTTTATAGGCTAGTGGCTGGCTCGACTTTGGGATGTCCATGCCTTGTCATATATTTTCTTTTCAAATTTTACTCCCTGTGGCTTTATTTATTTATTTGAGACGGTGTCACTTGTTGCCCTCAGTAGAGTACCATGGCATCGTAGCTCACAGTGACCTCAAACTCTTGGGCTCAAGTGATCCTCTTGCCTTAGCCTCTCAAGTATCTGGAACTACAGGTGCCTGTCATAGCATCCAGCTAATTTTAGAGATGAGGTCTCGTGTTTGCGTAGGCTGGTCTCGAACTTCCGAGCTCAAGAGATCCACCTGCCTTGGCCTCCCAGAGTGCTAGGATTGCACATGTGAGCCACTGCACCTGGCCTCCCTGTGGCTTTGTGCTTAATGGTGGTACAGGAGGAGGGGAAGAGAGGGAGACTTCCTGAGCATGATTTTACATCAACCTGACCAATCCTGATTAGATTTAGTGTTTGCAACATACAAGTGATCCTCATTATTTCCATATCTAATATTTGCAAGTTCACCTAGTGGCTACAGTCTTTTCATAACCCCTCAAATCAATATTCCTGGACCTTTATGGTCTTTTAGAGGTGTGTCCAAGGCAGTAAAAAATTGAGTCACTCAAGGTGCAGTGTTCCCAGCTGAAGCTGAGTGAGGCAGTGCTCTGCTTCTTGGTTTTAGGTCTCATACATGTGTCCTTTTCTTATTCTGTTCGGTCCTACATTTCTCATGTATCTGTTCTTTTTGGTGGTGATTTTGCTATTTAAAATGGTCCTAAGCATAATGTGGAAATGCTGTCTGGTGTCCTGAGGGCCAGAGGACAGTGATGTGCCTTACGGAGAAAACTCTTGTGTTGGAGAAGCTTCCTTCAATCAGGTGCGAGGTGTAAGGTGGTGGGCCATGAGCTCAGCATGAATGAATCCACAATACACGTGAAATGCAGTGTCTTTGAGTAGAAACACGTGAAACAAATTATCGACTAGTTGATGAAAATGTTTGGCCAGAGGCTCCTAGGAACCTGAGCCTGCGTTTCCCATAGGAGTGGTGGTTTCCTACACACCAATTCAGTGTTCACTGCAACATTCTAGAACATAATTACCACAAATAACAAGAACTGACTGTCCAAAACTGAAGCCTTCTCTCAGGAATTCATGATGGAGCCTCCAGCAGCCCTTCCTTCCACCCACACTAACGTTCGCTCTTTTGTGGCCTCTCTCCTTGGCAGGTTACTTTCTAAATTTTCTGGAGCCTGTAAACAATATCACCATTGTCCAAGGCCAGACAGCAATTCTGCATTGCAAGGTGGCGGGAAACCCTCCTCCCAACGTGCGGTGGCTGAAGAACGACGCCCCGGTGGTGCAGGAGCCTCGGCGCATCATCATCCGAAAGACCGAATATGGCTCTCGGCTAAGGATCCAAGACCTGGACACGACAGACACGGGCTACTACCAGTGCGTGGCCACCAACGGAGTGAAGACCATCACTGCCACCGGAGTCCTGTTCGTGCGGCTGGGTGAGTTGGGATGGCCCAGGCTCGGGGGTTAGACTTCCACAGCCACCAAGCCAGAGGTCAGTTTGCCCCTTGAAACTGAACACACGTGAGTGAACACAAGAGGAAATCCATAAAGCATTCACGAGGTGCCCAAGGTCCCAGCTTAACCTGCCCCCCAGTTCACTATGAGTAAACTGATATGGATGAAATGATCTGTAAACCCAGAGCACACAGAATATATTCCCAGACCAGACTCAGCTGAGGCTGTGGGAGGGAAGGCCCTGTTCCAGGAGCCTGGGGGTGGGGAGTGGGGTCGGGGGTGGGGGTGGGGGGAAGGGCCCTGTTCCAGGAGCCTGGGGCTGTGAGCTGCGTGTCTATCTCCCTGGATGGGGAGGGAGCAGAGCACTAAGACCACTCTCAGCTTTGTGGTCCTCACACATGGAGAGGAAAAGGTGCGTCCCCTCTTTCCAACTGTGGGACAATCCCAGCCCTGTCCCCTGTGCTCACATCATTCTATCACAAGTAGAAGAACAGGATTTTTGTTTAAGGATGAGAAGAGAGAAAGCACGGCAGAAACTTGAAAATATCAACAGAAGTGTCTGTAGCAACACCACCCTCCTCCCCCTCCCCTGGTTTTCAGCATCACTTGGCCTGTGGTCATGGGCAGGCACAGAGCCAGCTTGTGGACGTCTGGCCACCAGCAAGCCCACAGCTTCAGCCAGTGGCTTGACTTGAAAAAAGCTATATTTCAAATCACGAAATATTAATAACTTGTCTTTTTGTTTCTTTCTTTTTTTTAGGTCCAACACACAGCCCAAATCATAACTTTCAGTAAGTATCTGTTTTCCCCAAACCATTTTCTGATGTTCTGAGGGTTTCCATTATGTGAGAATTCAGGTTTTAAATCCTGCCAACTCGTGTCTTTGCTAGCAGTTGGCTGGGCTTCACATAAGGATGGCAGCGTGCTTGTTTTGCGTTGGGGAACATTTACATTTTCCATGTTTAGTGTAAAGAGAAAATGTCATAAAAGCAATTGTTGATTTCTCTCAGTGATGATGATCTTACACAGGGGAACTGAAAGGCGTGTCGACCCGACTGCTGGGTACTTCCCGCCCACCATCAGAGGACCCATTTCTCCTAAACTTCCATAACAGGGTTTCAAACTTGTTCATTTTTGCCACCCTGAAGAATGGAGAAATGAATAAATGATCGGCTTTCCTTCCCACTTCCCCTGTTACTAGTGAGGCTGAGCAGGTTGGCGTGTGTTTGTGGCACTCAGGTTTCCCCGGGTTAATTGCTGCTTTGCAGCCTGTGCTCATTTTCCTTTTACATTGTTTATTTTTTGATGATTTTTAATAATTATTCTTGGTCCTATGAAAATGAAAATTTTTCTGTTATTTTTTGATGATTATGGGGTTTTCATTACAGAAGGCCCAAATTTCCTTGAACATTTCTGATATTTTGATCGGAATTACTGAAGTTTTAGTAATGTGGTGAGAATTAAGATGTAAATTGTATATTCCTGTCAAGGACCACTTTCTTTGTGTTTTAAGGTATTTTTTTCTGTAACATTTTATCATGCAAAATTTCAAACATACAAAAAAGGAGAAGGGATTTTACAGCAAACATCCATGTACCCACCGGCTAGATGCTAACACACCTCACTGTGCTTAGTTTCACCACTGATCTTTCTACCCATCTGTGAGTCCATCACTATCTGTTTGCTATTCTTGTTTCTTCTTTTTGAGTTAACGTTTTAAAAAGCAAGTGCAGCTCTATTATTGTTAGTCAAAACTGAATTCCAGGCAAAAAGCATGAAAGGAACTGTAAAAGAAACACAATGAAAAAGCTACAGCTTCATATCTATAGGTATTTAAGGACATGCACCCAAAACATAAAAAATAGAAGACTCATAAAAATGGGCTGATACAGAATGAGTGTGGAGGACGTCAACAAATTTTCAGATGTTTGTTACCCATGTGGACAAAAAATACATATTGATGCTCTCAATAACACACTTAATGTACTTGACCTTGTGTAAGAATCAAGAAATAGTGGGCACACTTATTTTTTTGTAAACAACAGGACATAGTCACAAAAATTGACCACATCTCACTGGCTACATCTGCTTTTTTTTTTTGCAGTTTTTGGTCGAGGCTAGGTTTGAACCTGCCACCTCTGGCATATGGGGCCAGTGCCCTACTCCTTTGAGCCACAGGCGCTGCCCTACATCTGCTTTTTAAAGATTTACCTTTGTTGGGGTCCTTGTTGACCATTCCTGCCTCACTTAATCTTAACTTTTCTGTTCTGTTTTGTGGAAATAGTAAAATTAGGTATTTTTTGGAGACTGATGAGGAGGGTTTTCCAATCTGGAAGTCCATGTAATACATGTAGATAAAGTTTATTTTAACTAATACACAGTATTTCATCCTGTGAGTCAGGCCACTTTCGGCAGGCACTGCCTGCTGAGGGAAGGTCAATTCTCTCTGCTGAGACAGACAGTCTTGACAGCACATGTCTGTCCATGTCTTCTTGTCCCACATCCCCTCCTTGCAAGATTCCTCCAAGGACAGAGGTTAGGGAATAGAATTGCAGGTGTACACCTCCTGCCTCTACTAGCAATGGCCAGATTGCCCTCTATGGTGGCTGAGGACCTCATGGTCTCACCAGCAACATATGAGGTATCATTTCTCTGTGTTTTCTAGCATGTGGTATTATCAGAACTTAAAATGTTGCCAATAATTATTTACCAATAATAATTTATAGTAACTTCAAATTAGATTTCACCAGTAAATAGTGAGGTTGGTTTAGTTGACCAGCACGTTCATGTACAGCCTCTTCACCTATGGATTGAATTGAGCTCTCCCCAGTTCAGGTGGAAGCCCTAACCCAGTGTGAGTGTATTGGGGATAGAGTCATCTTTAAGGAGGCGATTAAGGATAAATGAGGTCATGAGGGTGGAACCCTGATGCAGCGGAACTGGCATCTTTATAAAAGAGGAGGAAACACCAGAGATCTCTTTCTCCACGATGTGAGGACTCCGTGAAAAGGTGGCAGGAAGAGAGCAACCCCAGCCTCCAGCTTGAAGTTGTTTTTTTTTTTAGTTGAAGTTATTCCTCCTTCTACCTGAAATTTTGTATCCTTTGGCCAACGTCTCCCCAGACGTCCCATCCCCAAGCCTCTGGTAACGGCCCTTGTGCTTCTAGCAGTTGACTTTTCACACTGACGTTCTGTAACTCTGTCATCACCGTTGCCGATTATCTTTCTGCGGCCATGAGTTTCTTTTTCCCCATTGACGATGATTGTGTTTCAGTAGACTGACCCTTTCCCCATTCAAGTGATGTGTGTGTGAAGCCTCTGGAAGTTAACCAAAATGAAGACACAAGGAGGGGAAGTAAAACAACTGCCTGCAAGTCCTGCATTTGTTGCTGGGATGGTCAGTTTATCCAAGTCAGTGACTCTTGAGCCCTTTCCCTAGGAAATTCACAGCAGTTCACATTCCTTCATTACTGATCAAGAAGTGTGTCCTGAGTGTGTGATTGGAGAGTTGGTTCGGAGCGTAATGATACCCCTGTTGTTTCTTCTCCGGAATGCGGGTGGTTCCTGCTGACTCTTACCCTCTGGCCTGTGGCCCTTCCCGGGTGCTCAGCTCACATGTCCTCATGTGTGGGCACTGCAGTGCATCTTTTGTGTGTCCGCTCAAATGTTTCTGGAGAGGGGTGAATATCCTTGGAGGTTGAGGGATTTACTATAACCAAGACATAGTTTTTCCTTCCATGCATGCTGAGGCGCAGGTGGGGAGGGTGTGTACTTGGAGATCAAAAACCTGATGCAGAGGCCGTTTCTCCACTTGGTGTGCTGGCGTGTCTGGGCACTAGTGCCAAGCTCCCTGTCTGACTTGTCACGTGTGGGTTTTGTTTTCTGCAGGACTGTAGGCTAGGCACAGGTCCTGCCTGCCGGGAGACAGTGGGCAGGGAGCATCAGAGCCCCCATCTTTTCCCATGTGGCTGTACCAGGGCCCACAGTGTGTGCACACACGCTGTGCTTCGCTCACACAACTGCTTAAAGAAAGTGTGTTGTTCTTTTGGATAATTAAAAGTTATATTGATTATTGGCCCGTGGGAAACAAGCTTCCTTGGGGCCCCACCTCTCTCACCTCCTTACATAGCAAACATCAGGTGATTTCTAGACCACTGCGCTGCACTGTGAAGACACTTGTGGCCCAGGACTCTCTGTGTCCAAGTCTGACTCATGTCTCATCTCCAGGCCACGTGTTATCAACCTCTCCATGCGGTGACTCAGAGACAGCAGCTCACACTCAGCACATCTAGGCGGAACTCGGCCAGCTTCCACCTCAAACTCCTTCCTTTTTTATTTTGGGAGAATTGTTATAAGTCTAGTTCACACTTTATCCTAATTACAGGAAAATAGCACTGTAAAAAGATGAAACTGCTAACAACTAGCCAGTGACTAAAAATGACTTCAGGATAAACCATGCTGCTCTACTGCTAGTAGTTCACCCAGGGGAAAGGCTGACATTTCACATTGGATGTTAAAGCTGTTGAACCACCAACCTAGTCAGGCTTAACTCAGTTCAAATGGAGCTGGAAGGAAGGGGAATGTTTTTTTGTTTTTTGTTTTTTTTTTCTCATTGACATCTTGTTACAAAAGGTTCTATTTCCTGGAAAATGTAACTTCTTAAATCCCATAGTGCAGAACTTGAATAAAAGATAGAAACTGAATTCCTTTTTGGATTATGTGATACGGGCAATAAATAATCATCAGTTACATAAACAGAGAATAGGCATACATCTCCTTAATTCAGACCTCACAGGACACAAGATAAAATATTGGCATGGTAGCGATGACAGTGTGAACACTTGATATGCACTGACATACTTAATGCTGCCACTTGGACTTCTTGTTTTCACGTGAGGGCACAGATCCCCTGTGTCAGCCCTTATGTCATATTATGCACGGTGAGAGATCTTTAATCACCGACCTGCAGAGTTGCCCAGGGAGACACCCATCTTCCAAGGGGGCAAATGTTTGGTTTACCAGGGAGGAGACCAGCTGTCTGAATGCTGTGGAAGAGAATGAGACTTACTTCCCAGTGAACGGGGCTGTCAGAGCCACTATTTTCTTCTCCACCGAGCACCTTACATGACCCTGGCCTTAAGGAAAAAGTCAATATTTCTAAAAGGTTCTCCTTACTTGGTTTTTTAAAAGATTAACTTTGGTGTTGGGTGTGTTCAGTTGGGACCAAGTAGACATTTTTTGCCACATCTATTCTATATGACATAAATATAGTCAGTTATTAGGAGTCTTTCTTTTTGGAAGTAGGTAAAGGATAATCTGTAAGCACATTTATTAATTGTTATCATTTTGTCATGTTTGATTTAGCATTCCTGCTGTGCATATTTTAAATTATTATTTGCTTTTTAACCACTTGAGATTAGAGGGCTTCATTACACCCTTTTGTTCCTTAATATTTCCGTGTATGTGGCCCAAGATCAAAGCTTCAAACTCAGGATATGTCTTTGAATAGCCATTCATATTCCAGTTTCTTTAATTGTCCCAATATTATCTTTAGATTTTTTTTTCCTGGTACAGGATTCTAATCATGTCGGTTTAGTCTCCTTTAATCTGGAACAGTTCCTTATCCTTTTGTGACACTGAAGTTTTTGATAAATACAGAGGAGTTATTGTATAGAATGTCTCTAAATCCTGATTAGATTACAGTTTTGCAGTTTCGACTAAAATAGTACTTATGTTTCTTTTTTGGGGGGGAGGGCAGAGTCTCACTTGGTCACCCTTAGTAGAGTGCCATG